TATTAACATTATTATGAAGTATCTGTAAATAAAGCTCGATTCTGCTAGGTATACATAAACGAATAACAGAGTTAAATATCTATAACTCTTGCTGTACATTTTATGAAACGAAATAAAAGTTAAATGTCATAAGACATACTACGTGCGAAACAACGATCTCGTCGACGAAATCGCAAAATGAAAGGTGCACCGTGATTACAATCTATGAAATAAGTCGATAAGTTCACGCGAATTCCGAGCAAACCAGTTTTTGCTAAGATCGCTATGATTTTGTGATTTCCGTTGGAATACGTTGGAAAACTATTTTCCACCGGTTTGCATTATTACAACTAAACAGTTAATCCACCGTCGTTAAAACATATAATTCCCATCCAGTTAAATTTATAAGACAGAAAAAGAGTGTCGAAACTCTGCAAAAAATCGTGAAGAATGATTCAATTTTACTTTCCACAACACGCGAATGATACTTTGAAGAAAAGGAAAAATCTAATAACACGATGCATACGTCGCAATAAAATTCTACGTAGACCATCCATTAGCCGGGTAGAAAGTAATGTCACGTATTTCACCGTTTTCCGTCTGGTCCGTGCTCGTTGAAGCGACGTTAAAACATATAAATATACTTATTAATAACAGCATGATTTTCTGATCGTGAAAGCCGCTTAATTGCGATTGTCGTTACGAGATGACCAGGAAGGAAGCGACGCAATTGTTTACCACTATTTACGAAACCTTTTCGCCGAAAATTTAACTTCGTTTCACTTCGCGGAGCAATTAATCCACTCTTTTAGTCGTCGAACAGGAAACGTTATTTATCACACCTTTATGAGATTTCGTAACGCATAAAAAAGTGAAAGGCCCACGTATGATTTCTCGATGACACGCGTGAAATTCGAGATTGAAAGCATTCGGATGATCCGAGTAGAATAGGTTCACTGAACTTGTTCTTCCGAGTACGTTTTCAGACTGACGCTTTTTCAAGCAAAATCGGATAATTTATGAAGTTCGCTCAGCATGACGAAGTATTTCAAGGCGGGAAAGATATGCACTTCAAGATACTTGACTTCGATTAATAATAGTGAACAGGAAATTACCTGCTCGATTATATCTGAAGTTCGAGATCAATATTTATTGCTAAGTAGATAATTTAGATATCATGATCGTTTTGAAAGAAGTTAATTTTTGTAACGTAATAAAAAACGTTTCATTCATGGTATGTGAGTCGAAGAGGAAAGTATTTCGAGTAACAGTGGACCGGTTCCAGGAACGGTCCTTGCGATTATGTTGAAAAGGTGACTATAAATCTTCGATCAGGATTCGCACTGTTCTTGCAGAGGAGATTCGTGTTGAGCAAGGAACCTAGATTCAAAAGGTAACCTTTTCGTTTGGTGGCATTGATCGACACGTGGAGTCACTTGGAAGTGTTGGAGGAGTGACTGTCGAAAATTGAGGTGAATGTAGGTTACTCTTTGGGTTCTGATCTCTAAATTTTAGACTTACCAAGTTCCAAACTCTCACAGGTCCCACTTCTCAAATTTTAAATTCCTCAAGTTCCAAACTTCTCAAGTTCCAAACTTCCCAAGTTCCAAACTCTCCTAGGTCCCACTCCTCAAGTTCCAAACTTTCCAAGTTCCAAACTCTCCTAGGTCCCACTCCTCAAGTTCCAAGCTTCCCAAGTTCCAACCTTCCCAAGTTTCAAACTCTCCTAGGTCCCACTCCTCAAGTTCCAAACTCTCCTAGGTCCCACTCCTCAAGTTTCAAGCTTCCCAAGTTCCAAACATCCCAAGTACTAAACTCTCCTGGGTCCTACTCCTCAAGTTCCAAGCTTCCCAAGTTCCAAACTTTCCTAGGTCCCACTCCTCAAGTTCCAAACTTCCCAAGTTCCAAACATCCCAAGTACTAAACTCTCCAAGTTCCAAACTCTCCTGGGTCCCACTCCTCAAGTTCCAAGTTTCCCAAGTTCCAAACTCTCCTAGGTCCCACCTCCTAAATTCTGGACTCCTCAAGTTCCAAACTTCCCAAGTTCCAAACTCTCCTAGGTCCCACTCCTGAAGCTCCAAGCTTTCCAAGTTCCAAACTCTCCTAGATCCCACTCCTCAAGTTCCAAACTTCCCAAGTTCCAAACTCTCCTAGGTCCCACTCCTCAAGTTCCAAACTTCCCAAGTTCCAAACTCTCCTAGGTCCCACTCCTCAAGTTCCAAACTTCCCAAGTTCCAAACTCTCCTAGGTCCCACTCCTCAAGTTCCAAACTTCCCAAGTTCCAAACTCTCCTAGGTCCCACTCCTCAAGTTCCAAACTTCCCAAGTTCCAAACTCTCCTAGGTCCCACTCCTCAAGTTCCAAACTTCCCTAGGTCCCACTCCTCAAGTTTCAAGCTTCCCAAGTTCCAAACATCCCAAGTACTAAACTCTCCAAGTTCCAAACTCTCCTGGGTCCCACTTCTCAAGTTCCAAATTCTCCTAGGTCCCACTTCTCAAATTTTAAACTCCTCAAGATCCAAGCTTCCCAAGTTCCAAACTCTCCTAGGTCCCACTCCTCAAGTTCCAAGCTTCCCAAGTTCCAAACATCCCAAGTACCAAACTCTCCAAGTTCCAAACTTCTCAAGTTCCAAACTCTCCTGGGTCCCACTCTCCAAGTTCTAAATCTCTCAAGATTCAATCTCTCTAAGTCCCAAACTCCCCAAGTTCCAATTTCGTCCAACTTCTCCTATGTTCAACCTCATCCAATTCCACGCCTCCATCTCCTGCATACCACTCGACTTTCGAATCTCTGACCAAGCCGTCTCTCGTCTCTTTTATCATCTTCAAACCGAAATAAAGTTACATTTCTTCAACTTGTTTTGAAGTGTTTTTCCAGCAGAGGCAATGTAGCTCAAACAAGTTTAGAGACATAAACAAGTCTATCATGATGCAACCATTGCACAAATGAGAACGTTTCAGGAATTGCCATGATTGTACGGTCCAGGAATTGTAATACAAATCGAGTAAGTCGACCTTGAGAGAACTCATACCATAAAACGTGATCGATAGAAGTAGGATGCGATCGATACAAGACTACTTTGAGGCTGGTCAGTAAACCGATCTAACGGTGTTCGTTGTAAAACGCCTCGGGTTTGAGACTCGTTGCGAAACCTGTTCGAGGATGCTTCGTGATCTCGATCAAGACGTAATACGTTGCTTATTCTAACGTTACTATAAGATACTGTAATTTAGATCGAAAAAAATGATCGTTATTTTTCCTTGTGTCGTTTAAGTTTTATTAGTTGCGTTCTTCTGGTTTTTCTTGACCTCATCTTCCGATTTTGTAGGACGGTGGGTTTTCAACCTGGAAACTCGAACACTTTTTCATTTTATTTTCTATCGATTTAAGCATGTAATTAGCATGAAATTAAGATATTGACTGTAGGATTATTCAGCGAAGGCGGAATAATATGGTTAATTTAATATTCTTTATCACTTGTACTTGTATTTTTTTCATGTTTGTCATGAATAGATTAATGTTGTGGTTGTGAAAATAATTATAGTACAAGGTAATGTACGCTTTATGGAGGTAGTTGGAATAGAATGAAATTTATGAAACAATAATGGAATTTAACTTTCATCTGCATGGGAGCTAACCTTGCTTTGTTCCCTGAGTGTCGGCAGATCAAGTTCACTGTTTGTTGATTGAGACTGTTGCAATGGGCGATTGTTTTTTCTCAGATTTTCCCAAAGTTTATTTAATCTCTCTGGATCTCTATTTTCTGAAATTTCAAGGTCAAGTGCACTTTCAACTTGAAACCTTCAGACTCTACAAATTTGAAACTTTCTAGGTTTCAGAATCCCTAGGTCCCACTTCTCAAATTTTAAATTCAAGTTCCAAACTTCTCAAGTACCACACTTCCCAAATTTCGAACTTGTCAAGTTTCTATTTCTTCAAGTTCTAAACTCTCTTGGGTTCCACTCCCCAAGTTCTAAATTTCCTAAGTTTCAAGTTTTTCAAGTCCCAAACTCCCCAAGTTCTAAACTCTCCTAATTTTGACCTTATCAAGTCCCACAACTGTACGAGTTCCAAACTTCTTAAGTTCCAAACTTTCATAGTTTCAAACTCATCCAGTCCTACAACTCCACAAGTTCCACCCTCCCTGGGTTCAGAACTCCTTAGGTTCACTTTCCAAGTCCCAAACTCTCCTAGTCTTCAATTCAAGTTTCCAAACTTCACAAGGTCCAAACCTCTTAGGTTCCAAACTCCTCGAATCTCTCTTCTTGAATTGAGACATTAAAACAAAACTAATAAGACATTTCCCTCTACATCATTTTTCTCAACATCATTTTTCTACAAAATCCATATTCTCTTCGTACCATATTCCTACTCCGCACGTAACAGTTCGCGTGCAGTCATAATAACTACATATCAGTAAATCTAGCAAGTAATGAAAGTCATATTACAATGTAACGCAAAAGGATTAGTAAATCGTGGAATGACGTGGTCTCCGCAAAACGTTTGCGCACGTTTTTCAGGTTAAACAGTGTCCGTTGCGTCGAGAAAGTTTGTTATCGATTGTAGTTCGCGTGTCTCGTACCTTCTCCTGGTAATTGCACGCTGATGATGACGAACGCAACTGCGGAAGTGAACGGAGCCGCGGCACTGTCATTAAGAGTGCCAATATCCCGATCGACGATGAACTGTGCACGCTTCCACGATCACAAAGGAAAGGGACGATCTATTGGTCAACCGCTATAAAACGAGCATTTTTTCGAGGCGTCGGTTCAGTTTCCTCGTCGCGTTTTGTCGTCGACTTTTCCTTCCGTTCACTTTCGATAATGTGAAATCACGATGTTGCAGAGAAAATACAGATAGTAGCAATTTTGAGAAATGTCAGAGTGTCGGTTTTCGTTCTTCACTTGGACGTTTTTACAGTGTTTAGAGTGAACGAAATCGAGCAACGAAGGTTACCTAAAAAATGGATTCTGAATAATTACAATTCGTCGTGTTAGAGATTTTACACTTAGAGACCCCAGAATGTTGTTCCTATTAGGAAGGCTACCAAGGTCCTACCCGATTATGATGCTCATAGTAACGAACCTGGTGATTTCAATGCCCGCACCGCCTATCAAACGTTCACCGGAAAACGCGTCAGCTGGTTTCTCCACCGTCCCAAAGATCCTGGAGATCCAACTGCCCTTGAAAATCGCCTCGAAGGACGATCTGGTCGCGTGGGCGAAGTACGTGATGGGTCTAATGGCCTCCAGGATCAATATCACGTTAACTACCATAAAAGACCCTAATGCTACTGGTAACACCAAGGCTCCAGACGCAGCTTTCGACAACACGGTGCAACCTCAAATTATGAGGGATTTGCAGAGGAACCCGCAGGTCAACCAAATGGGTGTTCGTAATTTGATGAACATGAACCAGAACGTGAGATACGCGGCGAACGTGAATAATCTCAACATGAAAAATGTGGAGCTTCCCGCGACCGTGAGGCCGTTAGAAAATGGCCGACGGTCAGAGATGATCAGAGTTCCTGTGAGACACGGAAACTTTCCGATTGTGGAGAAACAATTTGTCAGTCCACACTTCTCGACGTTTGCGATCAATGGAGTTACTTCGAATAGTTTATTCAAACAGACACCGAGTTTCACCAACTTGGGATTTTTCGATACCACTATTCCCAGTCCGCTGGAGATATCGGCGAATATAAATTTACCTAAGGAGTCGTTCAAGAATATTTTTAATAGTCCGAAGATATCGGAACCGCAGTACTTTGTTCCACCGTTGCCCGACCCTGGACTGCCTGATCTGAAAAACAATAATCTTCTGCCGAAAAATTTGAGCCTTGCCACGACTCCCGCGAGGACTTATCTTCCTGTTGCTACGACTGACAACATTAAGAACCCGAATGATCCTTTCGTTACTAGATATTTTTTCGATGGTGTAGAGAGGAAGGTTCCTAACAATCTGGCGTTCTTTAATCTGAACGCTAGCTTCACTACTAATAACCCGATTTTCAATGATAAAATCCCGATACCGATACGAAGCGTCGAGCCTCAAAGAAACTCGACAGTCAACGTAAAACCGCTTCTGAAGGTTCCCTTCGAGGCTGTGATCACGTTCACGAGAGAAAACGCGGGAGAAACGACGACATGGAGAAGCGACAGAGACAAATATGTCTTGATACCGACCAGAGATCCTCCCGACGAGTTTCCACCGTACTTCGACACCAATTATACGTTGACGAACGAGTCTGGGCAGATAAACGTGGTGTTCGAGGATGACAAAGAGGTGACGTTCACCACGAACGATAAGAAAGAAGAGAAGAAGAGTAAAGGGAAGAAGCAGGAATCTTCGAAGAAGCAAACGAAGAAGAAGAGTAAGGGACCGTCGGTTGTGGGTCAGTTCTTGAAGACCTTCGCGGCGTTGAGGAATAACAATAGCTTGACGACGGATCTGAAGCCTCCTCCGTTGGACTCTCAAAAGAAGACGACGACTCAGAGAGCTCCGGTCGCTCAGAAAGTTCCTGTGGCTCAAAGGTATCCGCCTCCGAGAACACAGAATGCGTACAACAAAAGGCCGCCGGTAAGTTTGGTAGTGATAGAGGTTCAAGTGGAAATTGGTTGATTACTGAAATGGAGATTAAGATGGTAGATGGTACTTAAATAGGAGTTAAATAGGGGTTAAATAGGAGTAGAGGTAATTAGGGTATAGTGAACGTTTATATTCTATGCATTGTGTTTCCCACGTGTTGAATTACTGTACATTGTATTTCCTACGCGTTGTATATTCTACGTATCGAATTACCTACGCATTGTGTATTCAATGTATCGAATTACCTACGCGTTGCAGATTCTACGTATCAAATTACCTTCGCGTTGTGTATTCGACGTATCCAATTACCTACGCGTTGCAGATTCTACGCATCGAATTACCTACGCGTTGTGTATTCGACGTATCGAATTACCTACGCGTTGCAGATTCCACGTATCGAATTACCTACGCGTTGTGTATTCAACGTATCGAATTACCTACGTGTTGTATTCCCTCATATTACATTACCAAACTTTCTCACGTGTTGCAGATTCTACGTATCGAAATATCTACGCATTGAGTATTTGACGTATCGAATTACCTACGCGTTGTGTATTCGACGAATCCAATTACCTACGCGTTGTGTACTCGACGTATCCAATTACCTACGCGCTGTGTATTCTACGTATCGAATTACCTACGCGCTGTGTATTCTACGTATCGAATTACCTACGCGTTGTGTATTCGACGTATCGAATTACCTACGCGTTGCAGATTCTACGCATCGAATTACCTACGCGTTGTGTATTCAATGCATCGAATTACCTACGCGTTGCAGATTCTACGCATCGAATTACCTACGCGTTGTGTATTCAATGTATCGAATTACCTACGTGTTGTATTCCCTCATATTACATTACCAAACTTTCTCACGTTACATCACCTGCCACTTTGCAGTCTTCTGAATGCACTAATTAATTCACTACATTATCAACTCCTAGGACGCATCTCTCCAACATGGCAATATAGCGGGAGTACGCTGGCACACCAATAAGATGCCAAATTAAATACTCAAGTTTGCAAATCCATGGTATTATAAATAATTAATTTTTCGATATTTCTGATGGGTCCTCGATGCATATTTTAACGTACTCAATTCTTGAAATGGCACATCGTAGAATCAATAAAAATGAAATGCGTTGCATAATAAAATTCGACGAGTTGACACAGATGAAGACACACTCTGCAACTGTTTACCTTTTCGATGGACCATCTTTTTAGGTCGATTAGGTCGTTTCGCAATTAAACTTGTCCTACCTTTTTATCGAGGAGGATGAAAATGCTTTACAATGCGAACGAAATAAAATGAATAAATAATGTATTTATTAAAAGAAACATTTTCGAATATGTCAGGCCTTTTAACGCAATAATAAACGCACCTATAGAAATGTCATTTTTATACATTTCTGAATTTTTTTATGGAAAGGTCACCTATACCAACTTTCTGTTTCATTGAACGAACTATTCATGGGAACTTATTGAAGTCGATTCCGTTTATTTCAGTCAGCGTTGAAACAAGGAAGACGTGGTCAGACGTCACTGGCGCAGGAAATTGAGGTACGTTGACTTTCCAGTTTTATCATTTTTCTTGATATTTTTCTGTACGACCTGTTGTGCAAGTGATTTCGAATAATCGGTATGATTAATAGTAAACGTGTACGTATTCTCATTAATTAATACAGCTTTTTTTTTCAATACATATGGACAACTAGATTGCGACACACGAACAACTTTCAATTCTTTTTTTAACTGTACTCATATCCGGAGAACACGTTCACTCACGATTATACAAACTTGTCATTATAATAGTCGATTTTAAATTATCTATATTTCACAAATTATGCAGATTAGATAATAAATTGCGCAGGTTAGCTTTCAAATTTTTAGCACAGACTCAGGTGTACGATAGTTCATTTTTTACGTACGTTTAATATTAACAATTTTTATTTTAAATACAGACTTTATACCGGTGTAGCGAGAACGGTGGTAGATTATCTTGTCTGATTGATTAACTTCGACGTCAATTGTTTTTTATTTATTCTAACTGTTAAAAATTACTTTACCGTTGCAATTACGTGAGCATGTTTCAATAAAAAAGTTTCGCTTGCTTAAATACAAATTTCGAATTCATTGCAACGAGATCAAACTTACAGGATGACGATAACGGGAGTGACGATAACGGAAGTGACGGTAAGAGCGAAGAGAGCACCGAGAAGAACGACGACGACGAAGACGACAACGGAAAGGACGACGTCGAGAGCAATGAAGGAAACGATGATAATGGCTCCAACGAAAGTTCAAGCAGCGAAAGCGAGGAAGACGACGAAGAGGAAGGTGGTTTCGTCCAGGCTCTTCTCGAGTTGTTTAATATTGCAGCACCGATTTTGGAGGATCTTAGTGACGTAAGAATTTAGGACTAGAAATTGGAATTTTATTTATGACGCAAGAGTATTAGGACCTTAAGAATTTAGGAGTTTAGAAATTTAAAACTTTAGAGGTTTTGAACTTTGATAGGATTTTATAGTTTTGGAAGTTTAAGAAATTAATACTGGAAGTTTAGGATTTTTGGACTTTGTTAAAATTAATTTAAATTGTAGGACTCGGTTACTTTAGAGTTACTGTATTTTTACATTTTAAGATTTAATTTCATACTCAATGATTGTGAAATTTTGGATAAGATTGTGAGACTTCGAAGACTTTACATCATAATTTCTCTTTCAGCCTGAATCAGACGCGGACTTAGCTGATGTGTTCAGTGCTGCCCTTCCGTTCCTCGAGGAATTATCTGAGGTAAGTTTTCTATGAAATCATCATAGAAAACCATCTAAAATTCCCACCTTCCGTAGGGAGACGGCGAGAACCCAGGATTCGACATTCCGGGAATATTAGTGCCCATATTACTAAAACTTAGCGAAGTGAGTTACCTTAAAAATTCTAAAAAAATTCTGACTGATAAAACGCAAAGTTATAAGAAAAATTTCGATTTTAGAACGAAGATGGACCAACGGATTCAGCGGCAATTCTGACACCGCTTATTCAGACAATTGCCCCGTTAATTGGACCTCTTGTTGGTCCACTGATTATGCCATTGAGTCGACAAATCAGTAACGTAAGTACCCTGGTTTCTAGATATCTATTTGATGTTTAACGACGTGAATTTTAGCCCATAGGTGAAGGTGGGTCATCGATCACGGACCTACTAAACAGTGTGCTAGCTTCGTTGCTTCAGGTGATCGTTATCATACTTATTTCTCCTAAATGAAATTACATGAAGTATAATCCTCGTCGTTTAATGTTTTCAGCCTATCGGACCTGGAAAAATGTCCCAACTATCGAATCTCGTCGCCGGAGTTCTCTCTAGTCTTAGCAAAGTATGCATTTTCTGTTAACTGTTCTTTTCTAATAAATCGTTTCACCACCAAATTGTGTCGTATATACCACGGTACACCTCTGTGACAACATATAGTCACTCTCCAAGCGAAACTAATTATGACTACTTCTTAGAAACTAATGATTCTTAGTAACATTTTAAGATTTCGTTCTTAGAAAACTAACAAAACGTTTCAACCAAGCTCTACTTGAACCTCTGACAATAAGAGTATTATTTAAACAGTGTACTAATAATTGAATTTCTTCCAGTATTCCGCAGCTGACGGCAATTCGGACGTCATGGGTCTCGTAAAAGCTGTGGTCGCAGGAACCATAGCTGGCACCAGTGCAGCCTCCAGCGGTCACAAGGACTATGGCCGCCCCAGCTATGGTGCCGACAGTTACAGTGGTAGACCTTCTACCAATACCTACGTGAGTCTACTCTTCCAATTATTCTCTCTCATTTTATTTTCTCTAAATACTTCTCCACGCTTATTTTCAGTTCCCAAGCCCTTTAAAACGCTTTCGGGAACTCACCGCCACTCTTTTACACTCTTCTCAATTTTCCAGGCTGCAGTGCCACCCAAGCAACCGAACCCGCTTGCGACGCTTGGCGATTCGGTCAAAGACATTCTTAATTCTGTAGTAAAATTGGTCGGGTCGTTAGTGAACGTCGTCACCGGGGTTCTGAGCTCTTCCTCAAATAGTGGCGAGGATCCATCGCCTAGTTACGGTCCACCACGTCCTTCTTATGGTCCACCACGTCCCTCTTATAGTACACCTCGTCCCTCTTATTCTACACCACGTCCTACTTATGGTGCACCTCGTCCGATGCAAGCTTTCGCGGTTCCTCCTAGCGACTCCATTAGTATTACTACTAGCAACCCGAAACGATTCTTGAGACTGTGAACAAAAATAACACGTTGAATGTCTAGTGTGTCGGAGTAAAATTTTATTTTAGATTGGAGGATTTTGAAATTATTGGGCGGAGTCAATTTTAGGAAGGGTTTGTATGTTGGATAATGGATTGTGTGGTGGTGTACGTAGAAATTTGATGTGTGAGGATGCAACGCGTAGGAATACGATAGAAGGCAATGCAATGGGAGGGCATATGACGCGTGGGGTACAACGCGTAGGAATGCAGCGCAAAGGAATATGATGCATGGGAATACAACGCGTAGGAATACCACACGTTGGACTTCGACGCGTGGGAATTCGGCGGGTAGGGATACAACGCGTAGATATTTGGTGCGTGGGAATTCGACGCGTGGGAGTACAGCGCATGGGAATACGGCGCGTAGGAATTCGATGCGCAGAAATACGGTGCGTAGGAATTCGATGCGCAGGAATTCGACGCGCAAAGAATACAACGTGTGTTAATTGGATGCGCAGGAATTCGACGCGCAGTGAATACAACGCGTGGGAATTGAATGCGCAGGAATTCGACGCTTAGGAATTCGATGCGCTGGAATTCGACGCGCAAAGAATACAACGCGTGGGAATTGGATGCGCAGGAATTCGACGCGCAAGGAATACAACGCGTGGGAATTGGATGCGCAAAATTTCGACGCGTAGGAATTCCATGCGCAGGAATTCGACGCGCAAGGAATACAAGCATAGGAACACAACGCGTTCTACTTCGATGCGTAGAAATCCCACACGTAGAACTACGACACACAACGACGCATCGCGCAAGAATAAAACGCATAAAAATACAACGACTGTTCGATGCGCAGAACTTCAACGCGTAGGAATTCCATGCGCAGGAATTCGACGCGCAAGGAATACAAGCATAGGAACACAACGCGTTCTACTTCGATGCGTAGAAATCCCACACGTAGAACATTCGATGCGCAGAACTTCAACGCGTTGAATTTCGATGCGTAGAACTTCGGCGCGTAGGAATTCCATGCGCAGGAATTCGACGCGTAGGAATACAGCGCATAGGAACACAACGCGTTCTACTTCGATGCGTAGAAATCCCACACGTAGAACTACGACACACAACGACGCATCGCGCAAGAATAAAACGCATAAAAATACAACGACTTATATAACTACATCGCACACTAAATATATGGCAATGACCATCGATCATTCAACGTGTTATCTTCCTCTTTGTTCCTCTACCAATACCATAGACTCTCTGTACAAACTTTATGTAAAAAAATAAAGATGTTCCAAACACCTGTTAATTGTTCACATAATTCAATGTTCAGTATGAAATAAAATTTGCAACGTAAATGAAAAGATAAAGTGGAACATTAAGTAGACTGTTGTAGGATAATTGCGGTAGTTTATTTTGCAATAGTTGATACAGGTTAATCATTTACTATAACGCGAGGATAATTCAAGGATGCAGGATACGTCACTGACGCACTTTCAATTCGACCTAAATCAATTATGCTTCACCGCTTCATTTATTCACGGCTACTCTTTTTTCAAATTTCCTGTATAGCTTCTTTTGTGAAAGACGTAACTGTAAATCAGTGGTATGAGATAATAAATGATGTTTCTGTAAGCACGTGCTGTAACCTCTTTGGCATTGACACATATATTTTTTTTATTTAACAATGTCGTACATGAAGATGTAGTATACGTTTATGATATATGTTTTACATTATTAATTCTTTCATAATTTAATCTCTATAGAGTTATGGGTTCAATCACTGCACAGTTAAGATCTTATTCTTATTTTAAGTTATTAAAGAAATCTTTTTGTATTATAATAATTCATCACTGTTTGCGGATGTTATATCCGTACAGGAACATATAGCAACAAGATATGAGGTTACATGATTCAAAAATGAAATACAATGTCGGAAGTTCCGCTTTCGAATGGATACAATTTCGCACCTGACGTAACCGTAGTCGTTCCGCCCTTACAAAAGACACGCGTTACCGAATCCACTCTCACCGCCCACGATGATCTTTCAAACAGATTTAATCATTTCAAACTCGACGAAACACAAAAACATATTTATTCGCCTTGAATCTCCACCTATTTAAATGAATTTCGAACGTGCAATTTGTTGGCCAATCCTAGTTACTCAACGCTGAATCCTTTCTTTATCGCAGTCCGTCCTTCTTTAAAGTTAATTGAGTCCTGTTTCAATTTAAAGATTTCGAAAGGTTGGATAATTTATTCGCGATATTTGGAAGATGTAGGCGAATTTCGAAATCTTTTTTAGAATGTTTAAATACCGTGATGTAACTTTTATTGATAAATGCATTTGGATACCTCGATTTCACTCGAATTATGATTTTCATTCCTAGAAATGATTTATGGGAGTCTATAAATAGGTATCTTCGAATTTAATATGCAAACTTGCAGTTTTCAAATTTTTAAATTACATCGCGTTTCTCTTCCAATTCTTAAAGATACCAAACTTGTAAATCTTGTGAATTAAAATTCTAATTTTCCGATGCTAAATCTGAAAAGTATTAAGGAGTGGTCGTGGCTCTTTCCCGCCGCCATTTTGTTCAGGAGCGTCCAGCACCTCCAGTGTCAACCAGAAGTGATTCACAATATTTTTACCCATCATTACCAATCAATACAGCGTACAAAATAATAATAAAATCATTGCAATAATTTTATCCATGAATTAGTTTCACTAAAGAGCAAATGTAACGCGTTTGCATTCGCACGCAGAGTTGGCTAAACGATAAATTAAAACGATTGCAACAATCGTTAATTGAGCTGCGGTTTCAAGGTACTATTAAGATAAGTGCAATTAGTTTTCGATCGCAGATTACTTCATTGTAGCACACTACACGGCGTGTGGTTCATAATCGCGTTTTACCATTCACGGTCGAGGCTGCCCGTGAAGTTGCAAGGTGAAAGCATATTTCACTGTTTGACCTACGAATAAACACGGAAGATCGTTGTATTCCGTGTCTGTTACCGGTACCACCCACAAGCAACTCGCCTTACCAGATCCGTACACTTGCCATCGTTATCGGACCGTGAAAGTCACGGCGGTATCAACGAACCGATGGAAATGTTAACGCACGATTTATGCCATGGAAATCTCATTTTTCACGTTTCATTTCATGTTTCCTTACGGTTTTAGTGGCTCGAGTATTTTCCTTGATAGTGTCTCAAGTATGGTATGAGAAAGCTGAGGGTTTTAATAGGAAGGTTAGGTTGAGTTGCAACTAGGAAGGTATTGTGTGCTTTGAAGATGGAAGGTTTGATCATTTTGAAATTGCATATGCGGAGAGGTATGAAGCTTGTCGAATTCTCAAGTTTTTAGGATTACATGTTTGTGTATTTATGAGCTGTCAGATTTATGGATTTTTAGATAATGAATTAATGGAGCTTCGATTCTTAAGTTGTGGAGCTTCAAATTTCCAAATTGACAATCCTCAAATTCAGAAATCAGCAAATGATCAAATCTTTAAATTTTCAAATTCTCAAATTTCTATATTCTCACATACTTATATAGCTCATTTCCACATCACTCAATTTTGACATCTCTAAACCCATACATTACCATATGTCCACATCCTCACATCTCCACATCCTCACATTCTCACATCCCCACATGTCCACATGTCCATATCCTCACGTCTCTACATCCTCACATCTCCACATCTTCACATCCCCACATCCGTACATGTCCACATCCTCACGTCTCCACATCCTCATATCCCCACATCCTCACATCCCCACATCCCCACATGTCCACATGTCTGCATGTCCACATCCTCACATCTCCACATCCTCACATCCCCACATGTCCACATGTCCACATCCCCACATGTCCACATCCCCACATGTCCACATCCTCACATCTCCACATCCTCACATCCCCAAATCTCCACATCTCCAAATCCCTACATCACCATATCCCTAAATCCCCAAATTCCTTAATCTCCAATACTCAAATTTCCAACTCTCCAAATCCCCAATTCTCAAACCCCAAATACTCATCTTCCAAAATTCTCAATTTCCTAATATTCCATCCCCACATCCCCACATCCCCACATGTCCACATCCTCACATCTCCACATCCACACATCCCCAAATCCCTACATCTCCAAATCTCCACATCCTCAAATCCCTACATCTCCAAATCTCCACATCCTCAAATCCCTACATCGCCATATCCCTAAATCCCCAAATTCCTTAATCTCCAATACTCAAATTTCCAACTCTCCAAATCCCCAATTCCCAAATCCCAAATACTCATCTCCCAAAATTCTCAATTTCCCAATATTCCACCCCTCCACCTTCCCCAAATTCCCCAAATTCCCCAAATTCCCAAAATTCCCAATCTCCGAAATCCCCAAAGGCAAAAATTCGAATGACCTCTCTCTACTATAAGTCCACTCCTCCCGAATTTTAATCACAGCGCCATCATCTACAAACAGGTTATACGATTAAGAATTTCAGAATGATACAAGGAACAAGTAGAATATAACCGAGCGGTGTCCAGCCATAAAGCGTTCTATATCATAGTGAATAAGTGGTCGACCGTTTTCCACGGTCTTTTGCATAATAACAGAGCGCAAAGATCGGACGTCAATCTCGAAGGCCAGTCACTTTCCATTTAGAAAAGAAAGCTAAAACACAGTTTGACCCTTGGATCTCGTTTGCAAAATTTTTTGTCGTTCCTGTTTGTCACAGTAGCCTTTCGGACCTGTCATGCTCGTTCTTCATCTAGAGAACAGTCTTCGTGATGGAACGAAGAGCTAATTGCAATTAATTGTTGCCGTAACGACACCTTTTACCGTCAACCGTTTCCGATTTCTAGTTGCCTCGTCGAATATTTATGAACAAGTTTTTTTATTCGATGTGCTGTCGTATTTCGTAATGTTATAAGAAGTTTAATCATCGAATAATTACTGGTAGAAATGGTGTTCGTGTAAATTTCTCTTTTAAACATAAATTTACGAATGTTCACCATTTATATTTAAATTGAAACTTAACTGAGAATAAGTTTCTCAACGAGGACACTATCCGCCATTTTGTATTCCGCAAATCCAGTCTAAAATGGTGGCACAGATAATAGTGAAACTTGTACAGTTTCGATATCAAAACATAAATGTATCAAAATTGTATCTCGAAGAAAGTAC